TTTATTCCAACCTCACTTCCGACGATAATTTACAGTCATCTACCCCTAAGGACGGTCCCACGCAACCACCGCTACCGAGGAGCACTTGTGGCCGAAAGCCGAAGAACCGGAGGGGTCGTCGCTCGGCGGACACTACAATGAAGGGTTACTGGTCACTACCCAAAGAAGACTCCGGGAATATGAAGCCTCAAAATGCGCCGCGGCTTCGCCGCGACGCCTCGAGGACACTGTTCGCTGGTCGCAGCTCTACCGCGTTTAGATAGTGCCTGGCTCCTACGTGGCGAGCGGAACGAGTGGGAACGTTCTGTCTTTACACCTGGAGGCTCGCAAGTAACGGGGTTCCTCGTATACCCACGCGAAAACCACAGGTCAATGGAGACCTACGGTATCAAAGTGAAGTAAAGTGAAGTGAAGAGAGAGAGAGAGAGGGGGAGGGGGCTCACGTCAGCTCTCGCCTCTCGCCTGGTAGCCGGAGCGAGTTGTCACCGAAGGTCCTCCACTAAAAAATTCTAGCGTACACCAATTCTCTGGTTTTCTCCATTTTATCTGGGTTTTTGTTGATTTTTTGTGAGTTTTCTCTGATTTTTTCTGTCAGTTCAAGTCAAGATCTCTCTCAATTCCACACTTAACCAGCACAACTTAGCGCTCCACACTCACCGCTGCCCTAAACGCGACTGCCCTCGCCGTGCGTGCCCCGAGGGCTTCCCACCACTCGCGGCTGCGCCCACTGCCGCGATCACCGGACGACAGGCGCGACGGTGGGGTGGATTGCGAACATCAGCACTTTCACTTCCGTCCACCATCGCCTCCATCGCCTGTTTGCATACCCACTGGCATGTGTTTAAACTAACACACGGTACAGTCGGGTTTGGGTTCAGGGCTAGCTGTGCTAGTGTCTGTCTATGTTATACAGGGTCGTCCATCCATAGACCCCTTCCTTTATTTTGCTCATACTGTGCCGCATGCACTCGTGCGGGCGGGTTGCATACTCATGGGGGGCCATGAGGCACCGTGGTAAGGGACGGTAGGCAAGCCCGCCCTCACGCCTGCATGCGGCACAGTATGAGCAAAATAAAGGAAGGGGTCTATGGACCACCCTGTATGTGTGGTGTGTTGCAGCTATGTGCTATCGAGGAATGCAACTCACCCGCAGCTCGCAGTTGCGCCTTGCAGTAGTCTAACTTAAGATGGCGGGCTGTTTTAGTGTTGAAATTAGTATGAAATGAGATGGCAAACTATGAGTATGCGAACACTTATTATCGTCGTAAAAGCCCCTCTGCTGCCTAAACGGTAAAAGACATAGGAAAACGGACGAAATTTGAGTAAGGCTTCTACTTTGACGAGTTCCACGGCCGGACTGGGAGGGTAAGGGCCCCGGCCGCTACGTCATGAAGGGCCCCCAAACACAGTTGCTTTTCAAAGCAGAAGGGCGGGCTAAAAGCGAATTCCTGAAAAGTCGTTCCAGAACAGCATGTTTTGTTTCAAAATGAATTGGCAAAATATCTACTTTTATTTACAGTGGAGTGACTCGAATACGCATTCTGAATGATTTTGAAGTGGGCATAGTGTGACGTACCTTGCGGTCTTGCTTGTGGTGCCTCTGGTAGAGAAATCCAGAATTTTTGAAAGGTGAAACTTTTGTTGGTGTTCCCTCGTTGTAGGTGAACGGGTCCTTCTGGAAAAGAGATAACTTAATTTAGAATTCGAAGTAAACGAACTAGCTACATTGCTCGCGAAAATTAGCGGTGCACTTCGCACCTTTCCTTCTCGGCGTTTTTTTTTTCTCGAGTATTTCCTACTCGAAAGCTAAGAATTCGTAGATTGACACATGGGGCAGGTGCAAGTTCATCTCTCGTTGTCACCGACTTAGGTATTTGACATTTCCATGATTTCCAGACCATTTCTCTTTTCCCTGATAATTCCCTGACTTCCTATAAACGATGTGAACCCTGGGTTGGGGACCAGCCGGCAGCCAGGAGCTCCTTGCTGGGGCCAGCAGGTCACCCCACCAGGGACGCAGCCCGCGGTCTATGGGTCTATGCCGAGCACGGACAGTAGGCCATCTCACCCGAAAAAAATTTCGAGGTACGCACGTCTAGTGATAGATTAGACCTAGAAG